GTTATACTGTTAGGACTTGCTAGCGAATATGTCGATACTCGTCTCTTCAGACAACGGTAGACCCGGCGCGGCTCTCTTTAGGTCTCTGTCACAAGCCTCCTAGTATGCAACGCCTTTACCGGCTGTCTACCCCTCAACGTCCTTGTTTTCTTCAAACAATGAGCATTTATTGCAAGTAGGCAATTCGCATCTCAAGCATTTATATTTAGTGTTAATGAAACAGGAACAACACATTTCCATCACGCTGTGCTTTGTCGCTAATGACTTTCGGCATTCTCCTCCGGCATTCTCGTCCTCAGAGGCCGTGCTCCTTTTGGTCAGCACCAAAAAAAACGCGGCCTCTAGGGGCGAGAATGCATTACCGGTCGCGAAATTGTCTTTGTACAACGCATGCTCATCAGGGGGCGGCGGGGGTGAAGGGTGGAATAGCGTTTGGCAGATGGAGGAGTTTGTATTTTTGTGACGTTTGCCCAGTCCATCACATTTGAATCAATTATTTTGTAATTTGCATGATTTAGGAATTGAGTTCAGCGCGTGTTTAGAGCGCCGTTTGCTGAAACACCGAACCACTGTCGCATTATTCGACTTGGCAAGTCGAACCTATGTTAGAATCGAACCAATTAATTTGAGTCGAATTTAATTGCAGCAAACGTCGCATCATTCTTGCGCCTATTTCAAAATTAATAGGTTCGAAGAATTGAATTCGACTAAGATTCGACGTTTACCCTGGGCCTAAGGTGAGTTGCAATATCTCAGCAGTTCAGTGCTTCATATCATTTAACTTCTCTTTATGTCACTAGTGCGAAGCGAGAAATTTATCCTTAAAAAAACCCATGCTGGTCTGTGATTTCTCTGTACGTGATATAGAATCGGTAACGATCCATTGAAACCCAGCTGGTGGACTGATGCAGTGAACACAGGGCTGAAGGACGCTTACCAAGACGCCGACCAAGTGGTGGCAATTTGCTCTGGGCGTGCGCATAAACCAATAGAGGTAATAAGCAAGAGTTACTGACTAGGATTATTTCCCCTCCCCCCTGGACCGGATGACTGTCCAAAGCAGGGCTACCCCCAGAATTAAACTCGCTGGTGCCAGTTTACACACATGGGTGGAGAGAGGCACTGCGAGAGTAAAGTGTCTTGACTATGAACACAATACAATATCCCCGACAGCTCGATCCGGAGGCGAGCGCACTAACCATGGGGCCATCGTGCCACCCACAAACTCCCCTTCAAACGCGAACTTAGCTTATAAATCATAAATGATTCTTATTGTTATCGTTTTTCAGGGTGTCGACGGTGAACTAACTCCCAAACCAGTAATTACCACGCCCTACAAGCCCGAAGATGTCTGCGAAGTAGTCGTTGCTATGGGTAATAGGGTCTGCCCAGGCTATCTGATCTTGCTGACCATACTCGTGTACCTGTTTGCTTTCGCGGGATGAACCAAAACAGCATTTTCACAGCATGCTGCTTATGTACGAGTTTATTGTTATTTTCATTTCTTTTTAGTAGTTGTTTTTAAATCTTTGCGTTTTTCGTTACATTATGATTAGGAAATAAACATAACGCAAGTAAGGCTTATAGCTCCATAATTCTTAGCTAGCGATTGACATGACATTATCTAGTTAGACTGTCGATTGCGTAAACCAAAACAACTGCACTCCACTTTAGGGGCTTTTAAGCAACTATAAATGTCTCGTACTCAGAATCTTTCTGGGAAGAATAAATACCCTTTACATTTACAATACAAGTTTCTTTTGCATTATAAACGACTGACCTAACAAGAGACAGAGTATCATCACATCCCAAGCCATAGAGGAAAAGTAAATTCTACAACAGGTCAGGTAGCCAATATTATTCGAGCAAGCTGATACTAGTTTCTGTGGCATTAAGCGACTAGAGTATTCCTGGTCATCCTTTCTTGGGGTGCTAGTTCATCGAAGGTTTCAGATCTCATTTAAATTCGTCGATTCTCATTTTTACACCTGTATGGGTGGAGGTTAGCACTATTAGAGTAAAACGACTCATGCTCAAGGACACGACACAATAGACGGAATCAGTTAACGTGTGTACATCGTTATAGCCACCCAGTTCAGGTCATGTGGTGATTGACTTGGGAGGTTACAGTTGTTCTGTTTGTAAATACTTGTTAGAGAATAAAAATGCAAGCCAGAATGTATTCTATAAAGTTACTTATTCGTTATTAAATTGTTAAGGGAAAACTTGTTTTTGGTGCAGGGTAATATAATCGTGGGATTTTTCGGAGCATTAAAAAAGGTTACTTGATTTTCCATTTCATTACTGATCAAATTATATTTTCCCCTTATGCTATGTTATTTTGTAGTTTTCGCTTTAGAACGAAAACTTGACTTTATTCATATTCCATTTGACACCGTCGTTTAGGTATTTTCCAGCAGTGTTTACCGTTGCTATGGCTAGTTTCTTTTTGGCGTCAATCGAGATAATGAAATAAATTGATCTCTATTTTTTTAAGCGCTCTTCCAGGAAACAGATATCTGGGATTCTATAACTTATCAGGATTTTGTTGTGTGATTTTTTCAGCCAAACGTTTTTCGTTTAATCGTCCTTTTTGGACATTGAAATACAGTCGTTTAATTAAGATTTACTAACACTTAACACGCTTCCCACAAGATGAAAAGTAACGTGTCCTTGCAGCTGATAACATGGTGGTGATTCATTTGAAAATGTTTAAACTCAAGAGTACGTACAGAGAATGATATGGACTAGGCGGGTTCAGAATTTGAGAAAGGCCAACCCACGAACTTGGGATTGAGCAATTGTTTTGTTTGTAAAACTTATGTCGCGGGAGATTTACGACAACAACCTTTACATCTAAACTTAGTATTATCCTCAACTTTTAATCAATAAAAACCAAGATTGTAAGTTTTATATTACTCATATTACCTTATTTTGGTCAGCCACCTAGGAATAGTCGGTTAAAATCAAGGTAGAAAATGTTTTAGTCTACCTCGATAACCTCGAAGGAAAATATGCTAAGTAGCTTTGTGCGCAGTCGCAGTAAAACCTTATGCGAACTGCGCATGACATTACGTTAGCTTGATTGAAAGTTTGACTGCGATTTGATGGATCATATGGTTGCCCCTTTAAAGGAACGTGACCAGTGAACTCCTAGTTGTTGAAGTAGTTATTGTAGCAATCCAAAACGTTTGTAGAAGAACATTGTGACAACTGTACTAGAGAGATCATTGGAAATTAAGAGTGAAGTAACCAAACAAGAGAGTGTTGGAGTGATCTGCTAGTTTCCCAAAAGATCGCTTTAACAAGTTGGTGGAGTTCCGGTTTCGGTGCCCGACGGACCGGATTTTGTTTTGAAAATCCAATCAGTGGATGACTAGACGTGGCTATGTTTTAACCGGACCACTCCGGTTATCAAATGCTCGGCTGTGGATGTTGTAGCCGACATCATTGTCATATACAGACGGTGGATTAGACGCCGAGAGCAGCGTTTGCAGTCGCTGTCGAAAACGGAACTAAAAAAAATAAACAGAACTGAATTCGAACATTCAGGGTTAAGTCCCAAGAAGTGGAAGCCGACGCGTGCGTGTCTTTCTTTTACGGACTCGGAGTTACTTCCAGAACTAGAAGAAACACGGCAAGCTAAGAAAAGCCAAGACAAGCCAGCAAATCAAACCGCAAGAGGGAGTCTAAGACTTATTGAGGCTGCGTACTCGTTATTCCTTTTTTGTAACTTTCTCGCAACCTATGTTAATTCTAAATAATATTTTTGCACCTACGCAGTTGTGCCAATGCTCGTTGTGATGATATAATTTTGTTTTCTTCAAGTTAAAAGCTTGCCCCGACATTTGATTGGGATTGATAGGAATAGTGGTTGCTGCAATTTATGCCACCTAAACCTAAGGCCTCTAAAAAGAGTATTACGCGTTCTCAAACACGTCAGGCACAGCTGGTTGAAACACCCAAGGAAAGTAATACTTGTGTTTGTCCTGCATCCGGTATCATGAATGTTGAGCAAGAAGAAGAATTTTTAAATTCTTCTTCTTGCTCAACATTCATGGTCAGCATTCATGGTTTTAAAAAGCCTTACCACTTTTTCTGACGCCAATAAAAGGCGATCTAAAAAAAAGAAGCGACAAGTATTACCCGAGCTGATACTAGTTTCTGTAGCATTACGCGACTGGAGTATTCCTGATCTTCCTTTCATGGGGTGTTAGTTCATCGAAGGTTTCAGATCCCAATTAAATTCGCCAATATCCATTTGTACGCCTGCATGGGTGGAGTTTAGCACAAATAGAGCAAAACGTGTCACATTCAAGAACACAACACAATAGACGGAATCAGTTGATTGAATCAGTTGATTGACTTGGGAGGTTACAATTGTTCGGTTTGTAAATACTTCCAAGCAATCAGTTTTATGAGTCAAATTGCACATTTGTAATCTCCGTAATGAATGTTCACGTGGTCTGAGTTGGGTGGTGTAAACACTTTAGCCGAATCCAGCGCATTAATCATCTGGTCACCGCTTCTCCCGCTAACCACCGGGAAGCGAGTTGATGTACGATCCTCCGGGGTGTGCTTTCAGTCATTCGAGTCAGATTCTGAAGTTTTTGCGAGGTCGATCACGAAACACTTCTTTAACTTTTTGGTGAAGGTGAAGGTGAAGAGGGGAAAAGAAACCGAAATATAGATCCGAATTACGATTACTGACAGCTCTTCAAACTCCGCGTATTATGGCTCCGATTCATTGTTTTGAAGTCAAGGCTTTTAAGCAAGGTGAAAACGAATACAACCACGACGAGGTTGTCGCGACTTGGGGCCACCGTGTTAAGCCCAACCGGCTCAAACTCCGTTTTCTGTAGCATGAAGCGGCTAGGAATATTGCTACTCCCCCCAGATGGGATGCAAATCCATCGCTGGAAAGGTTTGAAATGGGGTATCGACTTTTAGCTCAAGTCTAGAATAAGGTATGGAAAATCACTGATTTTGGTCTAAAGTAGGGTACGTACAGATTCCAAGGTTCTTGCCGCACAGCCCAACCAAAAGCATTCGGGAGCCCCAACCCCTTGTAGTTATGTAGCTGAACGTGCGTCATACTATAATTATCATGATAATTAAAATGTAATATAACGATATGATAATTTCCTCTTTGTGCAGTGTCATGATAGATTCCGCTCATAACAGGCAAGCTATAATTTCGCTACAATTTGTTGACAGAACACTATGATTGTTCCTCTGTGCCTCTTCCTGCTGCATTCCGCTGCGCTGCAAGCCTCAGCTGACCTCGCTATAGAGCATTCCTTTTTCGCTGCTCTGGATGAAGATCAAAATGTGAAGCTGTATTGGAATGTTAGCACTGAAAGCAAAGAAATTAACTTCACTGTGGAAGCCAAAACGACTGGATGGATCGGGTTTGGAATCTCCAGCGGGCAAGGCAAGATGAAAGGAGCTGATATTGTGATCGGCTGGGTGAAAGATGGAAAAGCTTACTTCAAGGTTAGTAAATGATTCTCACGAACAACAACGCCAAGCCGTTTCATTTGGAAAGCTTCAAGTTGTTGGACAAAGGTATTAAAGGTTAAGGTTCTTATCAGCCTATAGAATGTCTGTTAGAGCACATTAAAAGCATAGGATAAGTCCGCCTTGCTCCAAATTTGTTTCGTAATGATTAATTGACGCATTCTACATTGTCAGATTTCAGGCATCACGCAGTGTCAAAACTTTCCGGGGAGGTACTCCTCCAAGGTTTTTGTTGGGAGCGTATGGCCCGAACCTTGAACTCTGTATCCTATTTCGGACTAAAATCTGTGATTTTTCACACCCTTTTTCAAATCTGAACGAAAAATCGAGCACCCATTTTGGTTTCGGGTGTCTAAAATTAGTATACGGCTCTAATTTGCGACCACATGTACAGCTAACCATACTCTTTAGGCTCAGACATACCTATATAGCCCATTAAGGGACTACCCCCAGGCAAAAGTAGCAAATATTTCCTTTTTGTTGCGGACTTAATTTGCTAACCATCGCGAGGTGCTGAGTAGATATCGGCACGTAGAGTACCTCTTTGTGGACTATCTGACGATAACGTTTGTCGCCCACAAGCATTATGATTGTCACCGGCCCCCTAAGGATACCTCTTCATGCCGCCGAGCCTGGCGACAAACGAAAGTTCGACCGCTCGATCGATTGGAAACATTACCCGTTCAATTCAATATGTTAATTTTGTGAAAATGCTTTTCACACTCCAATGTTGCATAGTCTCCGGTATTAAACTTGGACCGGCTTCGAACAACATCTTACAGCTGACATTATCATGGGAAACTATTACGTAAGCAGTCAACTGTAGACTGCAGACTGAGGGTAAGATGCTGAAGATGCAGACCGAAATGTAGACTGCAAACCGGAGTAAAATGCAGACTGAGGGTAAAATGCAAACTGCAGACCGGAGTAAAGTGCAGACTGAGGGTAAAATGTGGACTGCAGACTATAAACTTTTCAAGTACGAATCGTGTTATTATTAAGTGCTAACGGTCAGTATAGGTTATTCAGGGTAATTGCAGTAAAAATATGCACTTCAGTTAGAATGAACAGCGCTGCGGTTAGCCTGTTTACCCGTTTAGCCTGTTTACCGGCTTAGATCTCCAGGATGAAAATGGTAACACGTATATGGTTAAAATTTGAAGTTTGCAGTCTTCATTTTACTCTCAGTCTGCATTTTCCAGTGAGCAGTCCACAGTTTGCGTTTTACACTAAATTGCGTAATCGACATCAAAACAAGAACACTTGAAAAGCAAAGTATGCCAGGCCAAGGGCTATAAGAATATTGCAAGTTTAAGGGAGTTTTATGAAACTCTATTCATATTTACTCACTCGGCATGATAAATCAAGCGGTAAGAAGACCCATTGTTTAACCAGGTAAGCTTATGTCTATAATTATCTCTCCATAATAAGTCCGATGGCGTGCTATATGCTTAAAATGTCCACAGTAATGGCTGACCTTAAAAAACTGAACATCTGAATGCAAATTTCCACCGATAACCCCTCAGAGAGTGCATGCTGGCTAAAACATTTCGTTGCAAAAATTTGGTAAATTTAGGTTTTCGTATTTTCATGAGTATGCAAGGGATCCCTATGAAACTTGAGTTGCGCAGATGTAATTTGATCTACGAACTAAGTTAACCATTTTGTTTACGTGGAAAAGACGCAAAATTCTAGGTCCACTATCGGCTATAATCGTCATAACACCAGCGCAGTCACGCATAAAATGTTTTTTGCTAATTAAATTAATTAAGAAGCTCACTAAATGTGTGAAATAACGAGAATTGATCAACATCATGATCCCCTAACCGATACTCGATCAATTTTACTATAGCGACGGATGTAAGAGGCCGATATTCGCTTGAAAAACGACCAATACATGTATACATTTTTTTTAATACTAACCAAGGAGAAGTGGGCTAGCCCCTAGGTAGCACTTGCTGATATATCTAGATGGGCTGCTCCAGTGACTCAAGTCTTCCCCGAGGGTACTTCATTGTCCGTAACTGTGAGAATTTGTCAGTGCAATAAGGCTGGATGGACATATCACAATTATTTCACGGATATTACACATAACATGCGTTCCATTCCCTCTCTCCCTTACAATTACGTCCGCTAAAAGACAAAGACCATTAATCTCGATTATTCATCGCTGTCGGTAGGGTATTCGAGAGAATAATTTACGATTTTTTAGCCCCGAGGAGGTACTCTGATACACTGGCTATATATGTATGTGCCGAGGTTTTTGAGGTTCCCGACGCGAATAACTTCGTGTAGAGTGTACTTCCGTCCCCNGTTCATCGAAGGTTTCAGATCCCAATTAAATTCGCCAATATCCATTTGTACGCCTGCATGGGTGGAGTTTAGCACAAATAGAGCAAAACGTGTCACATTCAAGAACACAACACAATAGACGGAATCAGTTGATTGAATCAGTTGATTGACTTGGGAGGTTACAATTGTTCGGTTTGTAAATACTTCCAAGCAATCAGTTTTATGAGTCAAATTGCACATTTGTAATCTCCGTAATGAATGTTCACGTGGTCTGAGTTGGGTGGTGTAAACACTTTAGCCGAATCCAGCGCATTAATCATCTGGTCACCGCTTCTCCCGCTAACCACCGGGAAGCGAGTTGATGTACGATCCTCCGGGGTGTGCTTTCAGTCATTCGAGTCAGATTCTGAAGTTTTTGCGAGGTCGATCACGAAACACTTCTTTAACTTTTTGGTGAAGGTGAAGGTGAAGAGGGGAAAAGAAACCGAAATATAGATCCGAATTACGATTACTGACAGCTCTTCAAACTCCGCGTATTATGGCTCCGATTCATTGTTTTGAAGTCAAGGCTTTTAAGCAAGGTGAAAACGAATACAACCACGACGAGGTTGTCGCGACTTGGGGCCACCGTGTTAAGCCCAACCGGCTCAAACTCCGTTTTCTGTAGCATGAAGCGGCTAGGAATATTGCTACTCCCCCCAGATGGGATGCAAATCCATCGCTGGAAAGGTTTGAAATGGGGTATCGACTTTTAGCTCAAGTCTAGAATAAGGTATGGAAAATCACTGATTTTGGTCTAAAGTAGGGTACGTACAGATTCCAAGGTTCTTGCCGCACAGCCCAACCAAAAGCATTCGGGAGCCCCAACCCCTTGTAGTTATGTAGCTGAACGTGCGTCATACTATAATTATCATGATAATTAAAATGTAATATAACGATATGATAATTTCCTCTTTGTGCAGTGTCATGATAGATTCCGCTCATAACAGGCAAGCTATAATTTCGCTACAATTTGTTGACAGAACACTATGATTGTTCCTCTGTGCCTCTTCCTGCTGCATTCCGCTGCGCTGCAAGCCTCAGCTGACCTCGCTATAGAGCATTCCTTTTTCGCTGCTCTGGATGAAGATCAAAATGTGAAGCTGTATTGGAATGTTAGCACTGAAAGCAAAGAAATTAACTTCACTGTGGAAGCCAAAACGACTGGATGGATCGGGTTTGGAATCTCCAGCGGGCAAGGCAAGATGAAAGGAGCTGATATTGTGATCGGCTGGGTGAAAGATGGAAAAGCTTACTTCAAGGTTAGTAAATGATTCTCACGAACAACAACGCCAAGCCGTTTCATTTGGAAAGCTTCAAGTTGTTGGACAAAGGTATTAAAGGTTAAGGTTCTTATCAGCCTATAGAATGTCTGTTAGAGCACATTAAAAGCATAGGATAAGTCCGCCTTGCTCCAAATTTGTTTCGTAATGATTAATTGACGCATTCTACATTGTCAGATTTCAGGCATCACGCAGTGTCAAAACTTTCCGGGGAGGTACTCCTCCAAGGTTTTTGTTGGGAGCGTATGGCCCGAACCTTGAACTCTGTATCCTATTTCGGACTAAAATCTGTGATTTTTCACACCCTTTTTCAAATCTGAACGAAAAATCGAGCACCCATTTTGGTTTCGGGTGTCTAAAATTAGTATACGGCTCTAATTTGCGACCACATGTACAGCTAACCATACTCTTTAGGCTCAGACATACCTATATAGCCCATTAAGGGACTACCCCCAGGCAAAAGTAGCAAATATTTCCTTTTTGTTGCGGACTTAATTTGCTAACCATCGCGAGGTGCTGAGTAGATATCGGCACGTAGAGTACCTCTTTGTGGACTATCTGACGATAACGTTTGTCGCCCACAAGCATTATGATTGTCACCGGCCCCCTAAGGATACCTCTTCATGCCGCCGAGCCTGGCGACAAACGAAAGTTCGACCGCTCGATCGATTGGAAACATTACCCGTTCAATTCAATATGTTAATTTTGTGAAAATGCTTTTCACACTCCAATGTTGCATAGTCTCCGGTATTAAACTTGGACCGGCTTCGAACAACATCTTACAGCTGACATTATCATGGGAAACTATTACGTAAGCAGTCAACTGTAGACTGCAGACTGAGGGTAAGATGCTGAAGATGCAGACCGAAATGTAGACTGCAAACCGGAGTAAAATGCAGACTGAGGGTAAAATGCAAACTGCAGACCGGAGTAAAGTGCAGACTGAGGGTAAAATGTGGACTGCAGACTATAAACTTTTCAAGTACGAATCGTGTTATTATTAAGTGCTAACGGTCAGTATAGGTTATTCAGGGTAATTGCAGTAAAAATATGCACTTCAGTTAGAATGAACAGCGCTGCGGTTAGCCTGTTTACCCGTTTAGCCTGTTTACCGGCTTAGATCTCCAGGATGAAAATGGTAACACGTATATGGTTAAAATTTGAAGTTTGCAGTCTTCATTTTACTCTCAGTCTGCATTTTCCAGTGAGCAGTCCACAGTTTGCGTTTTACACTAAATTGCGTAATCGACATCAAAACAAGAACACTTGAAAAGCAAAGTATGCCAGGCCAAGGGCTATAAGAATATTGCAAGTTTAAGGGAGTTTTATGAAACTCTATTCATATTTACTCACTCGGCATGATAAATCAAGCGGTAAGAAGACCCATTGTTTAACCAGGTAAGCTTATGTCTATAATTATCTCTCCATAATAAGTCCGATGGCGTGCTATATGCTTAAAATGTCCACAGTAATGGCTGACCTTAAAAAACTGAACATCTGAATGCAAATTTCCACCGATAACCCCTCAGAGAGTGCATGCTGGCTAAAACATTTCGTTGCAAAAATTTGGTAAATTTAGGTTTTCGTATTTTCATGAGTATGCAAGGGATCCCTATGAAACTTGAGTTGCGCAGATGTAATTTGATCTACGAACTAAGTTAACCATTTTGTTTACGTGGAAAAGACGCAAAATTCTAGGTCCACTATCGGCTATAATCGTCATAACACCAGCGCAGTCACGCATAAAATGTTTTTTGCTAATTAAATTAATTAAGAAGCTCACTAAATGTGTGAAATAACGAGAATTGATCAACATCATGATCCCCTAACCGATACTCGATCAATTTTACTATAGCGACGGATGTAAGAGGCCGATATTCGCTTGAAAAACGACCAATACATGTATACATTTTTTTTAATACTAACCAAGGAGAAGTGGGCTAGCCCCTAGGTAGCACTTGCTGATATATCTAGATGGGCTGCTCCAGTGACTCAAGTCTTCCCCGAGGGTACTTCATTGTCCGTAACTGTGAGAATTTGTCAGTGCAATAAGGCTGGATGGACATATCACAATTATTTCACGGATATTACACATAACATGCGTTCCATTCCCTCTCTCCCTTACAATTACGTCCGCTAAAAGACAAAGACCATTAATCTCGATTATTCATCGCTGTCGGTAGGGTATTCGAGAGAATAATTTACGATTTTTTAGCCCCGAGGAGGTACTCTGATACACTGGCTATATATGTATGTGCCGAGGTTTTTGAGGTTCCCGACGCGAATAACTTCGTGTAGAGTGTACTTCCGTCCCCTCCCCCGCCTCCGCCCCCAGCCCCCCTCTCCCTCTCCAGGCTTGTATCCAACTGTCAATCAGGCTTTAGAGCACTTAACCGCAGACGTTATCAATATAGATAATAGTTTAAGAAGTGATGTAATATTCATAGCATCACAAGTAACTTTTGCAAGCCAAAAAGACCCACTCAACCCACAATGTTTTTTATGTCATCTTCAGGGCATGAAGTGACATAACGTCGAAAACGCTTGATTTCTTACATTTTTTATTCTTTTAAATATATCCTTTTAGCTTTGTAAAATTATTTTCAAAAAAATGTTGGCTCTTTTGTTAAATACATATTTCTAATTTACCTTTCTGTACTGTAGGATCGACATGCCGATGGTTACGTGATGCCAGCGGTTGATTCCCAGCAAAACTATCAGTTGATTTCCCTGACGGAGAAGAGCGGGAAAACCACAATGAAGTTTTCAAGAAAGTTTGACACTTGCGATTCAGAAGACAACAAAATTGAGGTAAATAAGTCACCTGCTATTAGATCGTTTGCAAATGACGTCATCGCCGCCACGTTGCATGTTAATTCTAACTACAATCATGGACGAAACTGTGGGACAAACTCGCGGGACTTTTGGCGCTTTTGGGTACAAGCCAGACGCCAATACAACTTCACCTGCCTAACCTCGCCCTCCAACCATGCAATGTTGAAAACTACTACCCGATATTGTTTGGGGAGAGGGAACAGTAACGCGTTTTTAAAAGGAAAGCAGTGCTTTTTTCAAACTTCAGAGGTAAAAGAAAGATAATTCGTTAAATTACATGAGTGTCTTAAGGAGTTTTGTGCACGATTCTAGCTTTATTGCTCCTTACAAGACAACTGTTTTCCAGTCCAAGTGACTCCTTATCCCTAAACTTATTTCCGGTAGCGTTTTTTCTTATTTAGTGTTATAATTCTTCTTATTATTTTTTTTTATCTTTATTTTTTTATGTTTTATCCAGAGCATGTTTTCTTGGCCGGTATGTTTTTATATACAACTGTGAATTATATTTTACGTGCGACAATTCAAATTATTCTTCGATGTATTCTTTTTCTGCCTTTTTATCGCCCGAGAACCCACCACGTGACCTGCAAACTTACTGAACTGCCTACAAATACAATAGGGGAGATTCATGCTGACGTCATTGTTTACGTTTTTGCTCATTTGCATAGGGCTCTGCGTACAGAAGGAAGTATGTTATTTGTGAATTGACTCCAGGCGGCTAGTAAAGCTCAATACATGGTGAAATTTTTAGCTCTTTGGATGTAATATTCAAGGAGATATTGTCTTTCAAAAACTGCAAAATTTCTGAGTGGCAAAAGCGCTAATGAGCTCATACATGTATTCTTTGTAAAATTTTGAGTTTTTAAACCCTTTTGCACAAAAAGTATTCAATACATAAGGAAGAGTTAATCATACTAAGGCCTTTCAATATTTAGAAGTGATAAATTTCTAGCTCCACCAGAAACTGAATTGCTTATGCTAGTGAGACAAATATTATAAACAAGGATTCCCCTATAGCGGTCTTATCATGGGTAATGTCGTCTAACTGTGTTTTTGCTGTAAATAATATTGAGCTCATGCGTAACTGTGACCACGCTTTGGTGTGAAGAAAAGGCAGATCGCCTCATTTTCACAGCTGCTTAAAGGAGCCCAGTCACGGCATTTCAGGTTATTTTTCTCGCGTGCGCATGTAGAATTACCTTGAGTTGAACAAACCCCTAAAATAGCAGTACACTGATCAACATGGAAATACACCCAAGGGATAATAGTTAACCATAAAGTAACAAGGATACTTAAGGATGGAGAAGATTGACACGGATTACAAACGAAGAACTTGAAAAAAATAAATAGGCTAAGCTTTTCAAGATGAGCAAAGCGTGACGTACATAACTGCGATGATCATTCATTGTCTTCACATTATGTTTACACTTCCTTTATTTTTCCAGGCAGGAACGACCAAAGTTATTTATGCTTATCATCCAGACGATCCTTCCTCAGAAAATAGCATTCCAGGCCACAATCTCAAAAACATGGGATCGAGAAGTCTCTTACTACTGAACAGTCTTGAAAAAATACCAACCTTGCCATCTGACACTAAAACATTCGACATACTGCACGACAAGGTAAGAATGGTAAAATAATTCGTGTTATCGTGCATACCTTTTGCTTTTCGTTTTAATTCCCTCGAAGGAGAGGTGGTTCAAGACTTTTGGCACCTCCCACTTATTGCAGTGAATTTGAAATCTAAGTAGAAACAGCTTGCAGCATCATTATCTTTCAATATCTTGGAAAACTTCCCATAAACGTTCATGACAGGTAAGATAGAAGAATTTCAAAGCTAAGCAACCAAATACTATGTCTACTTTTTTTCAAGAGAAAAAAAAGCTTTGGCGTTTTTGTTTGTTTTGACTCGTCTATCAATGGCACGTCGAGACTCGCGTACTTGATACAAGCAGGGCCAATTTTAAGGAAGGCAAGACTAACGCTACGGACAATAGAGAAACTTCCTTAAAGTTTACTAGATTGACATATCACCCATTCAGACCGCACAGTTTTTGAAGGTGTGAGAGGGGAGCGTTGTGGGGAGGGGAACGGGGTTGTGAGCTTTTGAGGCCCTCGACCTCTATCTCTTACATCATTTAAGTTTTCACAATAAAACTTGGAATATTTACTAATAACATGGAATGATGACATCGTATGATGTTGAAACGACGCCATCATTTCTGAACAGCCACTATCTTGGCTCGACCAATTTGGATCATATGATCTTTAAAGAACTTTAAAAAAAAAATCAAAATTGTCAAAACCAGAAGCATATCACCTTCTGTCAAAACCGATAAAGCTAACATCCAACTAAGAAATAAAAATACGAAAGTTAAAATATTCTCTGTTAAAAAAACCCAAGAAAATTGGAAATTGGAAAACAAATACATTAAGATCCCTGATTAATGATTAACTTATTACTCAAGTTATTTCCAGATTCATTCTTTACCCTGGGGACTTTTGAAATAAAAGGCCTCCATAGTTTGTGAGGGCTTCAAACTTCACTCCGCCCGGTCTGAGTAGGATTAAAGTTAGGCCCTTAACACTTCCAAAAGTGCAGATAATAATAAAACTACTCCATTTGAATATTCTTATGTATATAACTAGTTAGCTCTACTTAAAGAGGCCTTCTTTTTATGTTTATTTTCCAGATGGCCCTTCCAAAGGGACGAACCAACTACATGTGTGCCGTATTTGAGATGCCAAGATTTAATGAAACCCACCATATGATTAAGGTAGGAATATTTCGTTTCAACTACTTAAAAAAACACAGAATATTTAAAATAGAACACCAACAATTGGTTGGTGACAAGTGAGGTTAAGTAATTGTTGGTCGGTAGGTCGGTCGGTAGGAGAGTAGCTAGGTAGGTCAGTCAGTCGGTGGGTCGGTCGATCAGTCTGTCGGNTCACGAAACACTTCTTTAACTTTTTGGTGAAGGTGAAGGTGAAGAGGGGAAAAGAAACCGAAATATAGATCCGAATTACGATTACTGACAGCTCTTCAAACTCCGCGTATTATGGCTCCGATTCATTGTTTTGAAGTCAAGGCTTTTAAGCAAGGTGAAAACGAATACAACCACGACGAGGTTGTCGCGACTTGGGGCCACCGTGTTAAGCCCAACCGGCTCAAACTCCGTTTTCTGTAGCATGAAGCGGCTAGGAATATTGCTACTCCCCCCAGATGGGATGCAAATCCATCGCTGGAAAGGTTTGAAATGGGGTATCGACTTTTAGCTCAAGTCTAGAATAAGGTATGGAAAATCACTGATTTTGGTCTAAAGTAGGGTACGTACAGATTCCAAGGTTCTTGCCGCACAGCCCAACCAAAAGCATTCGGGAGCCCCAACCCCTTGTAGTTATGTAGCTGAACGTGCGTCATACTATAATTATCATGATAATTAAAATGTAATATAACGATATGATAATTTCCTCTTTGTGCAGTGTCATGATAGATTCCGCTCATAACAGGCAAGCTATAATTTCGCTACAATTTGTTGACAGAACACTATGATTGTTCCTCTGTGCCTCTTCCTGCTGCATTCCGCTGCGCTGCAAGCCTCAGCTGACCTCGCTATAGAGCATTCCTTTTTCGCTGCTCTGGATGAAGATCAAAATGTGAAGCTGTATTGGAATGTTAGCACTGAAAGCAAAGAAATTAACTTCACTGTGGAAGCCAAAACGACTGGATGGATCGGGTTTGGAATCTCCAGCGGGCAAGGCAAGATGAAAGGAGCTGATATTGTGATCGGCTGGGTGAAAGATGGAAAAGCTTACTTCAAGGTTAGTAAATGATTCTCACGAACAACAACGCCAAGCCGTTTCATTTGGAAAGCTTCAAGTTGTTGGACAAAGGTATTAAAGGTTAAGGTTCTTATCAGCCTATAGAATGTCTGTTAGAGCACATTAAAAGCATAGGATAAGTCCGCCTTGCTCCAAATTTGTTTCGTAATGATTAATTGACGCATTCTACATTGTCAGATTTCAGGCATCACGCAGTGTCAAAACTTTCCGGGGAGGTACTCCTCCAAGGTTTTTGTTGGGAGCGTATGGCCCGAACCTTGAACTCTGTATCCTATTTCGGACTAAAATCTGTGATTTTTCACACCCTTTTTCAAATCTGAACGAAAAATCGAGCACCCATTTTGGTTTCGGGTGTCTAAAATTAGTATACGGCTCTAATTTGCGACCACATGTACAGCTAACCATACTCTTTAGGCTCAGACATACCTATATAGCCCATTAAGGGACTACCCCCAGGCAAAAGTAGCAAATATTTCCTTTTTGTTGCGGACTTAATTTGCTAACCATCGCGAGGTGCTGAGTAGATATCGGCACGTAGAGTACCTCTTTGTGGACTATCTGACGATAACGTTTGTCGCCCACAAGCATTATGATTGTCACCGGCCCCCTAAGGATACCTCTTCATGCCGCCGAGCCTGGCGACAAACGAAAGTTCGACCGCTCGATCGATTGGAAACATTACCCGTTCAATTCAATATGTTAATTTTGTGAAAATGCTTTTCACACTCCAATGTTGCATAGTCTCCGGTATTAAACTTGGACCGGCTTCGAACAACATCTTACAGCTGACATTATCATGGGAAACTATTACGTAAGCAGTCAACTGTAGACTGCAGACTGAGGGTAAGATGCTGAAGATGCAGACCGAAATGTAGACTGCAAACCGGAGTAAAATGCAGACTGAGGGTAAAATGCAAACTGCAGACCGGAGTAAAGTGCAGACTGAGGGTAAAATGTGGACTGCAGACTATAAACTTTTCAAGTACGAATCGTGTTATTATTAAGTGCTAACGGTCAGTATAGGTTATTCAGGGTAATTGCAGTAAAAATATGCACTTCAGTTAGAATGAACAGCGCTGCGGTTAGCCTGTTTACCCGTTTAGCCTGTTTACCGGCTTAGATCTCCAGGATGAAAATGGTAACACGTATATGGTTAAAATTTGAAGTTTGCAGTCTTCATTTTACTCTCAGTCTGCATTTTCCAGTGAGCAGTCCACAGTTTGCGTTTTACACTAAATTGCGTAATCGACATCAAAACAAGAACACTTGAAAAGCAAAGTATGCCAGGCCAAGGGCTATAAGAATATTGCAAGTTTAAGGGAGTTTTATGAAACTCTATTCATATTTACTCACTCGGCATGATAAATCAAGCGGTAAGAAGACCCATTGTTTAACCAGGTAAGCTTATGTCTATAATTATCTCTCCATAATAAGTCCGATGGCGTGCTATATGCTTAAAATGTCCACAGTAATGGCTGACCTTAAAAAACTGAACATCTGAATGCAAATTTCCACCGATAACCCCTCAGAGAGTGCATGCTGGCTAAAACATTTCGTTGCAAAAATTTGGTAAATTTAGGTTTTCGTATTTTCATGAGTATGCAAGGGATCCCTATGAAACTTGAGTTGCGCAGATGTAATTTGATCTACGAACTAAGTTAACCATTTTGTTTACGTGGAAAAGACGCAAAATTCTAGGTCCACTATCGGCTATAATCGTCATAACACCAGCGCAGTCACGCATAAAATGTTTTTTGCTAATTAAATTAATTAAGAAGCTCACTAAATGTGTGAAATAACGAGAATTGATCAACATCATGATCCCCTAACCGATACTCGATCAATTTTACTATAGCGACGGATGTAAGAGGCCGATATTCGCTTGAAAAACGACCAATACATGTATACATTTTTTTTAATACTAACCAAGGAGAAGTGGGCTAGCCCCTAGGTAGCACTTGCTGATATATCTAGATGGGCTGCTCCAGTGACTCAAGTCTTCCCCGAGGGTACTTCATTGTCCGTAACTGTGAGAATTTGTCAGTGCAATAAGGCTGGATGGACATATCACAATTATTTCACGGATATTACACATAACATGCGTTCCATTCCCTCTCTCCCTTACAATTACGTCCGCTAAAAGACAAAGACCATTAATCTCGATTATTCATCGCTGTCGGTAGGGTATTCGAGAGAATAATTTACGATTTTTTAGCCCCGAGGAGGTACTCTGATACACTGGCTATATATGTATGTGCCGAGGTTTTTGAGGTTCCCGACGCGAATAACTTCGTGTAGAGTGTACTTCCGTCCCCTCCCCCGCCTCCGCCCCCAGCCCCCCTCTCCCTCTCCAGGCTTGTATCCAACTGTCAATCAGGCTTTAGAGCACTTAACCGCAGACGTTATCAATATAGATAATAGTTTAAGAAGTGATGTAATATTCATAGCATCACAAGTAACTTTTGCAAGCCAAAAAGACCCACTCAACCCACAATGTTTTTTATGTCATCTTCAGGGCATGAAGTGACATAACGTCGAAAACGCTTGATTTCTTACATTTTTTATTCTTTTAAATATATCCTTTTAGCTTTGTAAAATTATTTTCAAAAAAATGTTGGCTCTTTTGTTAAATACATATTTCTAATTTACCTTTCTGTACTGTAGGATCGACATGCCGATGGTTACGTGATGCCAGCGGTTGATTCCCAGCAAAACTATCAGTTGATTTCCCTGACGGAGAAGAGCGGGAAAACCACAATGAAGTTTTCAAGAAAGTTTGACACTTGCGATTCAGAAGACAACAAAATTGAGGTAAATAAGTCACCTGCTATTAGATCGTTTGCAAATGACGTCATCGCCGCCACGTTGCATGTTAATTCTAACTACAATCATGGACGAAACTGTGGGACAAACTCGCGGGACTTTTGGCGCTTTTGGGTACAAGCCAGACGCCAATACAACTTCACCTGCCTAACCTCGCCCTCCAACCATGCAATGTTGAAAACTACTACCCGATATTGTTTGGGGAGAGGGAACAGTAACGCGTTTTTAAAAGGAAAGCAGTGCTTTTTTCAAACTTCAGAGGTAAAAGAAAGATAATTCGTTAAATTACATGAGTGTCTTAAGGAGTTTTGTGCACGATTCTAGCTTTATTGCTCCTTACAAGACAACTGTTTTCCAGTCCAAGTGACTCCTTATCCCTAAACTTATTTCCGGTAGCGTTTTTTCTTATTTAGTGTTATAATTCTTCTTATTATTTTTTTTTATCTTTATTTTTTTATGTTTTATCCAGAGCATGTTTTCTTGGCCGGTATGTTTTTATATACAACTGTGAATTATATTTTACGTGCGACAATTCAAATTATTCTTCGATGTATTCTTTTTCTGCCTTTTTATCGCCCGAGAACCCACCACGTGACCTGCAAACTTACTGAACTGCCTACAAATACAATAGGGGAGATTCATGCTGACGTCATTGTTTACGTTTTTGCTCATTTGCATAGGGCTCTGCGTACAGAAGGAAGTATGTTATTTGTGAATTGACTCCAGGCGGCTAGTAAAGCTCAATACATGGTGAAATTTTTAGCTCTTTGGATGTAATATTCAAGGAGATATTGTCTTTCAAAAACTGCAAAATTTCTGAGTGGCAAAAGCGCTAATGAGCTCATACATGTATTCTTTGTAAAATTTTGAGTTTTTAAACCCTTTTGCACAAAAAGTATTCAATACATAAGGAAGAGTTAATCATACTAAGGCCTTTCAATATTTAGAAGTGATAAATTTCTAGCTCCACCAGAAACTGAATTGCTTATGCTAGTGAGACAAATATTATAAACAAGGATTCCCCTATAGCGGTCTTATCATGGGTAATGTCGTCTAACTGTGTTTTTGCTGTAAATAATATTGAGCTCATGCGTAACTGTGACCACGCTTTGGTGTGAAGAAAAGGCAGATCGCCTCATTTTCACAGCTGCTTAAAGGAGCCCAGTCACGGCATTTCAGGTTATTTTTCTCGCGTGCGCATGTAGAATTACCTTGAGTTGAACAAACCCCTAAAATAGCAGTACACTGATCAACATGGAAATACACCCAAGGGATAATAGTTAACCATAAAGTAACAAGGATACTTAAGGATGGAGAAGATTGACACGGATTACAAACGAAAAACTTGAAAAAAATAAATAGGCTAAGCTTTTCAAGATGAGCAAAGCGTGACGTACATAACTGCGATGATCATTCATTGTCTTCACATTATGTTTACACTTCCTTTATTTTTCCAGGCAGGAACGACCAAAGTTATTTATGCTTATCATCCAGACGATCCTTCCTCAGAAAATAGCATTCCAGGCCACAATCTCAAAAACATGGGATCGAGAAGTCTCTTACTACTGAACAGTCTTGAAAAAATACCAACCTTGCCATCTGACACTAAAACATTCGACATACTGCACGACAAGGTAAGAATGGTAAAATAATTCGTGTTATCGTGCATACCTTTTGCTTTTCGTTTTAATTCCCTCGAAGGAGAGGTGGTTCAAGACTTTTGGCACCTCCCACTTATTGCAGTGAATTTGAAATCTAAGTAGAAACAGCTTGCAGCATCATTATCTTTCAATATCTTGGAAAACTTCCCATAAACGTTCATGACAGGTAAGATAGAAGAATTTCAAAGCTAAGCAACCAAATACTATGTCTACTTTTTTTCAAGAGAAAAAAAAGCTTTGGCGTTTTTGTTTGTTTTGACTCGTCTACCAATGGCACGTCGAGACTCGCGTACTTGATACAAGCAGGGCCAATTTTAAGGAAGGCAAGACTAACGCTACGGACAATAGAGAAACTTCCTTAAAGTTTACTAGATTGACATATCACCCATTCAGACCGCACAGTTTTTGAAGGTGTGAGAGGGGAGCGTTGTGGGGAGGGGAACGGGGTTGTGAGCTTTTGAGGCCCTCGACCTCTATCTCTTACATCATTTAAGTTTTCACAATAAAACTTGGAATATTTACTAATAACATGGAATGATGACATCGTATGATGTTGAAACGACGCCATCATTTCTGAACAGCCACTATCTTGGCTCGACCAATTTGGATCATATGATCTTTAAAGAACTTTAAAAAAAA